TTCAGCGAGGTGCCCCTGCCCCAGGCGCCCCGAGCTCGCCCGTCCAGCGCCGTCAGCGAGGACAGCATCCTCTCCACAGAGTCCTTCGACCAGCTGGACCTGCCCCCCCGAGCCCCCCAGGGCGGGGGGGGCATGAGGGGCTGTGTGTCTGCCGACAGCCTGCTGGGGCTGGCAGAGCAGGAGGAGCTGCAGGGAGGGCGCAGGCTGCGCCGCTGGACTGTCACCCACTGCCGCAGCCCCTTGGCCGAGAGCAGCCTGTCCCTGGGGGGCTGTGCCAACACCCCCGACAGCTACCGACCTGCTGTGCCCGTGGGCATGAAGCTGAGCTGAGAGCACCTTCCTGGGGGGTGTGTTTTGGGCAGGGGCTGAGCCCTCCCTGCCCCAGAGCTGCTGGTGCTGCTGACCCGTGTGCTATGTATTTATTGAGCAGCCCCTCAGGGGGAGCTGGGGGTTATCCCAGTGCCAGGACTGGATGCCCTGAGTGACCATTCAATGGACCAAAGCCTGGAGTGACCCCCCCAGAGGTGCTGGAGGGTCCCAGAGGCTCCTCAAGGTTGTGCTGTCCTCCTCACTGTCCTCCCCTCGCAAACAGGCTCATCTCATTGGGGTGGTGAAACCAAGGGGTTTGGGGGATGGTGTTGTTTTTTTCTTTGCACTGTTTTCTGGCTGCACAAGGTAAGAGATGGGGCAGGTGATATACCTCAAAGAAGCTGGAGATGTAGCAGGGTGCTGGTGAGGGGCTGAAAGGTGCTGCCCGTGGGCTGAGCTCTTGGGATGTGCTGGCAACAGGGTCCAAACTGCCCAGGCCACGGCTCTTCCCTCTCCTGTGCTGAGAAACTCAACTGGAACTGGCCAAAACCCCCAAGCTGAGACAGGCTCTGATGCCAACACTTAGTATTGTGATGCTGAGGAAACAAAAGTGCCTTTGCTGAGGCACTGTGTCTTTATTTATTGCCTTTGTCCAACCTGATGTGCGTGGCAGCAGCACAGGCTGTGTCTGGCTCCAGAACAGCCTCCCAGGTGTGTTTCTGGGCTGGTGTCTGTGTCCTTGTCTCATGTGCCACATGTTGAAGCTCTGTTGCACTATTGCCACGTGTTCACTGGCCCTTTCCCTTCTCCAGGGGGTGTGTGTGTTTTCCCTCCTTCCTACAGGCTGGTCTGGAGAAAACCATTAAATTAAAAGCAAGTGGTGAAGCTCTGAGTTGTTGTGCTGATTGCTGGGGGAGGTGTGATGGGAGCTGCTCACCTGGGCTGGTGGGTCCTGTGCTGCTCCTGCTGGGATGGGGATTGCTGCAATGCAGGTGAGTGGGAGTTAGCTCAGACATGTCCTGTGAAGGTAACACCTCCATGCAGCATGTGCTCAGCCCTTCCAGTGCTCCAGCATATCTTTAACTGGGTTTAACTGGTGCCTCCCCAGCGCTGAGTGGGACTGGGCACATCCCTGATGTGGGAGCTCAGCACCCACTGGGACAAGGACCAGCTGGGGAGGATGGGGATGGCTGGAGGAAGGACCAGCTCTCGGGGTACCACAGCACTGGGGCAGTGATGCTGCTGGACAAGCACAGCCCAAACTTTAGGGAGAGCTGGGATGGAGGTAAATGACTGTGGGGGATGATGAGCCCCTTGTCTCTCCCCACCACGGGCAGCCCTGCTACCCCAAAACCACTCTCCCAGCACTGGGGGGTGTGGGCTTGGATTTGTGAGCCATCCCGAGGTTTTGGCAGCAGGATCTACCTCCTGGGCACCTGCCATCACCTCTGCCAGCACCTGCAGGTGCCTCAGCTGCAGGAAGGACCAGCAAGGCTCAGTCCCAGCAGCCACAGCTCATTCCCTCTCCAGCCCTTTCCCTTTATCCTCTCCTCCCGCTGCGGCATTGAAACCTGTTTTATTGCTCCATAAAGCCCCGGCACGATTTCCCCTTTCCACTTGGGTTAATCAGAGCCATTTGAGGTCTCCTCCAGAGCTGCTGAGCCGCAGGGAGAGGTTGGCAGAGCTGCCTGCCCGGAATGCTGCCCCTCATCCCCGGGGGGGTCCCCACTCTGCCCCCGCCGCACATTCCCCGCGTGCTTGGGAAACGCTGGAGCGGGTAAAGCTGCTCCCAGGGCATCCAGCTTAGCCAGGACAAAGTCCCAGCACCTCACAGGCTCCGGGGTGGGATTGCCACGGGTCCAGCCCCCACGGGTCCAGGGATGCAGCATCCCAAGGGGGAAATCCATTCGAGCTGAGTTTTAACAGCCACTGAGGGATAGAGGTTTCTTTTTTTGGGAAGCATCCGTGGGTTTGGAGCATCCTGGGGTGCTGTTTCATTAATGATTCCCAAGAAAAGTCCTGTGTGTGCTGGTTTGGGAGCCAAGCTGAGCTGTGGCAGCTCTGGGTGGGCACCATGTGGGTGTGAGGGGCACGGTGACCATCCCATCGTGTGTCCCAGCTGGTGGCAGAGCTGTTTGTGCTGGTTTGGGAGTGGTGGTGTGTCAGCTCAGCCCAGCCCTGACTTCTGACAGATTCCTCCAGAGCCTCTGCCCACCCTGTCCCAGACCACAGGGATGGCAAGGAGGGAAATACTTCCCAGGAGCTGAAAGGGAAGGTGCAGGAGGGAACTGCAGTGACAGGACAAGGAGTAATGGGGAGAAATTGAAAGAGGGAAAATTCAGATGTGAGGAAGAAGTGTTCTCCTGTGAGGGTGGTGAGACACTGGCATAAGTTGCCCAGGGAGGCTGTGGCTGCCCCAACCCTGGCAAAATTCAAAGCCAGGTTGGATGAAGCCTTGAGAAATGTGGTGTGGTGGGAGGTGTCCCTGCCCAGGGCAGGGGATTGAGACTGGCTAAGCTCCATCCCAACCCTTTAACACGCTGGGAAATGCTGTGAGAGAGCTGCAGGAGGGGTGATGGATGCAGCCCGAGCCTGCAGACTCCTGGCAGGGGGTGGGAGGGGATGCAGTCCCCGTTCTCCAGTTCCCCATCCCACTCCCTCCCCGTGCTCGCAGCATTCCCTCGCCAGCCCTTGGAAACGCTCCTTTCAGCCCAGCCCTGATTTCCGCTGCCTCTGCCCCCCTGTCTGGCTGTCCCCCCCAGCCTGGGGCTGAGCTCCCTTTTCAGACCACCACTATTATTCACGGCTCTTTTATCCAGCCCTTTCATCCCCAGCGTTGGCAAACCCTCTGTGCTTCGCTCCTGCCTCCTGAGCACAGCCCCCAGCCCTGTCCCCCCTCCCCGGGGGTGTTTCAGGCGGGAGGAAAATGACCTCAGCAGCATTTTGCTGAGAAAAATGCCATTTTTTGAGGGGTGACTTCAGCCGACCTGCTGTGTCTGCTGCCAAACGGTGTGTGGGAGTGGAGCTGTGCTCCTGCCAGGATGGCTTGGAGAACAGGGAAAAACACCCAGAGAGAAGTGGTCCTGGGTGATGAGGGGATGCTGCAGTGTTTGGGGCACAGTGTGGGTTTATCCCAAGCAGGGTCAGCTTTCCCTGTCGCTGTCCCAAGGGATAATCCAGGTGAAGGCAGCCTGCAGCAAACTGGGAGATAGCCTGGACCTTTTCCTGCTGCTTCTCAGGGTACTGGGACAAACTGGGACATGCCCATGACTGTACCCCAGGGACTGGTGCTGTGAGCATTGCCAGAGGGCAGGGGTAGGGATTTTCAGGCATGGAAATTGGGCTTTTCCATGGATTTTTAAGGGGTGGTGTTGGGGTAGATGTGGGTCAGTGGGTCACTTAGACCCCCAGGCTTGCTGCACCTAAACCCCACCCCACCCTCATCTGGGAATTGTTTTGGGAGCCACATCCATGTGAGACATCCCTGAGCAGCTCCACTGCCCTGGGAAAGGGGAGAACAGGGTGTTTTGGGGCTGGAGCAGCCGTGAGCAGCAGCCGTGAGTTGGCAGAGGGAGCCAAGCAAGAGGCTCCAGCACCACTCCCAGAGCTTTCCCGGCAGAGAGGAGTGTGGGCACTCCCCTGGCCCCAGGGAACTGCAGGGCCCTGAGTCACCTGCAGCTCCTGCTCCTGCCTGGGCTTGTGCCCTGAGCCCGGCTCCACAGCCCCAGATTTGGAGCAGGGCAGGCAGAGCAGGCTCAGGGGGAGGTGGGGTGGGAAGAGGGTGATGCCTGTGGCCCCAGGGACTGAGCAAAGCCACTGCACGTGGCTGCTGGGAATGCACACTGGGATCAGAGTGTGTTAAAGGGTTGGAATGGACCTTATGGATCATCCAGTGCCACCCCCTGCCCTGGGCAGGGACAGCTCCCACCAGAGCAGGTTGTTCAAAGATTTATCCAATCTGGAATGAACAGTGCCAGGGTTGGGGCAGCCACCCCAGGGCAAGGTTGGGGCAGCCACAGCCTCCCAGGGCAACCTGTGCCAGTGTCTCACCACCCTCACAGGGAAGGGAAAACTTCTGCCTGATATCAGATGTCTAATCTAAATTTCCCTCTTTCAATTTCTCCCCATTGCTCCTTGTCCTGATCCTGCAGTTCCTAACCAAGAGTCCCTCTGCATCTCCCCTGGAGCCCCTTCAGCTCCTGGCAGGTTGATCTGATATCTCCAAACAACCTTCTCCTCTCCAGGCTGAACAGCCCCAACATTCCCAGTTGGCCTCTCTGCTGGTTCTTCCCAGCCCTATTCTCACACCAGTGGAACAGAGATGGAGACAGAGCCACAAGCTGCTCTCGTTAGCAACCAGCTCCTAACGATGCTCAGGGCACAGAGTGGCTCAGGGACACTCCAGGTGCTCTGAGGTTTTGGGTGTCATCTTCCCTCTGGCCATGGCTGTTCCTTCCTGTAGGAATCTCCCATTGTTGCCTTTCTGTTCCTCAGATTTTCTCCTTGAGCATATCTTGTCTGTCTGACACATGATGGGCCCAGAGCCAACAATATTTCTAAGACATTTTGTCATAACTTTGAGCACTGGAACAATTAACACAACAAAGCTGAGATGTTTCTTTGCCTGTGATGCTTTCAAAGTGGATTTTTTTTTTTTTTTTGCCTTTTAAAGGTGCCTCCACAACTACCTGTTTGATTGCTGCGTTTCTTTGAAGATCTGAAGATGAGAAATCCCCACATGAAAGTTCTCCTGTCTTCAATGGTACTTTGCTGCAGCCTGGAGCAGCCCAAAGAGAGGGGAAAAAGGCACCCAAAAACTTTGATGCTGTTTCCCTGGAGCCTGGAGCTGTGTCACAGCTGAGCCTCAGACCTAAAATGTAATCCCAGACCCTGCTGGGATCCTGAAAACCAAGCACTGGTGACCATCCTGAGGCCCCAGTGCCCTCCTGGAGCTGTGGTGATGCTGCTTGGGTTGTTGGGTCTCTGCTGGGGGGAGTTTCTCCCAGCAGGATGACTCTGCA